ATGACACAGTGTTTATTGTCGAAAAAAAAAAAAAAAAAACACTGCCCGGTTGTCCGCATTGGTGAAATAATATCCGGATATGAAATTAGGAATGGGTGGGGATTAAGGTAAAAAAAACATTAAAAAAAAAAAAAACAGAACGAGGATTAAAAACAATGACTGCGTGGTTCAGTGGCCCGTGACGAAGCGGGTTGGGATTTGTGTATGAAGTCATAGGAAAGCCTACTCAGTTCATATCTGTGTTTAGCTCCATCAGTTCATAAATGTGTGTAGCCCCATCAGTTCATAGCTGTGTGTAACATATTCAGTTCACATCTGTCTGTAGCCTACTCAGTTCATATCTGTATGTAACATATTCAGTTCACTTCTGTATGCAGCCTATTCAGTTCATATCTGTATGTAGCCTATTCAGTTCATATCTGTATGTAACCTATAATTAAGTTCATATCTATATGTAGCCTACCCAGTTCGTACTGTAAGGTTTAAAAAAAGTACCGGAATCATCCAAAGGTTATGTCCCCTTACCACCAGCTGTCCATATCATTTGTTAAACAATGTGTCGTATAAACATTAGCACTTTTGGTCTCGCCCAGCGATGGATCTGCTCCTTAAGACCCACGATTCTTGGATCTGCTCCCTAAGACCCACGATTATTGGATCTGCTCCCTAAGGCCCACGACTCTTGGATCTGCTCCTTAAGACCCACGACTCTTGGATCTGCTCCTTAAGACCCACGACTCTTGGATCTGCTCCCTCAGACCCACGACTCTTGGATCTGCTCCTTAAGACCCACGACTCTTGGATCTGCTCCTTAAGACCCACGACTCTTTGATCTGTTCCCTCAGACCCACGACTCTTGGATATGCTCCCTAAGCCCCACGACTCTTGGATCTGCTCCCTCAGACCCACGTCTCTTTGCCTTTTTTGGGGGGTCCGGAATGGTCAGACCACTGCTCAAACTTAAACACCCCCAAGACAAAATGAATCATATTCATCGGGTGAGTTCACAGGTGAGAATGTCGGTTACCTGTACATGTCATAGAAAGGTGAGATCACGGCCCCTAAATCTCGACGATGTTACCAACTTATCTTTGTGGCAACCACCCAGAAAAGATTTTTTTTCATCCTCTCGTCTCGCGGCTCATCAGTGGCAGACACCGATACAATCTTTAGGAGGATACCCTATAAAATATAAGGTGTTTAAAGTTGCAATCAGGCCCCCACGCTCTTATTCCCTATGTGTGAAATGATTCATAATGGATGCTATCATTTTAACTTACAGCAGAAGGTTCTCAACCTTCCTAATACCGCGACCCTTTAATGCAGTTCCTCATTGTTGTGGCGACCTCCAGCCACGAAATTATTTTTCATTTCTACTTCATAACAGTAGAGTATGTGTTTTTCGAAGCCCTGGGAAAGGGTCCTTCGACCCTTTATTTAAAAAAAAAAACAAAAAAAAAACTATTTTTATGCAGTTTTAAATAAAAGTTCCAACTGTGGTTACTTATTGGATTTTTTGTTCCTTTTGCAAATATGAGATATATATTTATGTTATCTATTTTAATATTTAAAAAAAAAATAATTATAGTTTTTTTTGGAGACTGGGGCGACTAAAGTTCAACACGATCAATTTCAGTTTGACTTTCAATATACATTGAACAGTGTTAAGATAGCAGGAATCTGTAGTCTTAAACTTACAAGAGCTCCATTCTCTATTACACAAAGAAAAACCCACACACACTTTCCCACCACCTATTAGCGTCTTAAAAATAAACATTATAATATAGGATAAATAGGTCGCCCGGTCCCTTCGCCTTAAACTCAGATCCCCAGTTCGGAGAGTATGTGGTGTGGTGTGGGTGAGGAACGGGTGGATTGAAGTTTTCCAGCCCTGTAGAATGTTTACATGTTGGCGTAGGGTCCCCCCCCCCCACCCCGGGTTTCTACTTTCATGTTAAAGGAACGTATTCAATTGTTCAACCGGGGGTTCAAAGTTTGTTACGGTGGACCCCTAAACTATAAGGTTTAACGTATTACATGCTGGACCCCCCCCCCCCCACACACATACAAACTGATTGATTCCCTCCCACACCCTCACTTTTGAACCGCGTGCTGTCACAACACTTAAAAAACCCCAGCCTGATCATTGTCAGTAAGAGATGACAACCTTTGATCCCTGTACTGTCAGGTCACCAAGCTTAAGCTCATAACCCCCCCCCCCCTTTGTTTAACTACTGAAATAAACGATATATTTCCCACCGCGTCTACTAAGTCGTAAACAAGAGTTACGCTGAACGGGCAGTGAGCCACAGCAATCCTTATCGCACATTTTCCCTCGATTCAATAAGCTGTTTTTGTGTTGTTTTTTTCTGAGATAAATTTAGCCCCGTTATGTAAACACCACCAGTGAAATATAACATGTTTATAAACTAAAAAAAAAAAATCTGTTTTCTAAATGAGTCGATGTGTAAGATTCTTTGAGCCCATCCTAACAAACAAGTCATACAATCAAGTAGGAGAGAATGCCATGTTAAGGAACATGTGCAATGGCGGCAGTCACTCTCTGACTAGGGTGCCGAAACATTGTGCCGACTACGGTGGTTCACTGTGCTGAGTAGGGTGGTACACGTTGCTGTAGTGGCAGAGGTGAACGTTGCTGTAGTGGCAGAGGTGAACGTTGCGATAGTGGCAGAGGCACACGGTGCTTTTGAGGGCAGAGTTTAAGTTCATCTTCTCCAATGGAGCAGAAAGAAGTTGATAAACTTTCTCAGTTGTAGTCCGTTATCAATTTTATTGGCAACATTATTAGCCGGAGTTGTTGACTTGTTTAAACCTCATGCAAATGTTTATTGTTCTTTTTTTTTCACAAATAATAATAATAATAAAGTTTATTTCAAATACACGCTTCATCCCGAAAGGCTCGAAGCGCGGTACAAAGTATAATTTACCACATTTAAAACAAACACAACACTACAAAAACTAATTGCAAGCATACAATGTCAAAGTCTTTCTACCCATTTCAACCCTAAGCAACACAGCCAATATGCATTAAATGGAAGATATGGTAGACAATCATCCCAGAAAGTGTTTGCGAAATAGATGTGCCTTTAAATCGGTTTTTAAGGACTCCAGTGTCTGGTTGTTTGTGAGATCGACAGGAAGGGCGTTCCAAATTGTCGGAACAGCAAATGCGAAAGTGCGCTTTCCGTAAGTCTCAAGGTGAACACGTGGTGTCGAGAGTTTGCCACTATCGGATGAGCGGAG